CAGCGACACACACAGAGAGACCCTACACAGAACAATACCTGAACAGCAATAAAACAAGAAGTGGCCGCTGCAGCACTATAGACATAGGGCGTGTACCCCGAGAAAATTTTAATTTTTAATAATTTGGAAAAAGAAAAAGAACAGTAAATTTATAGACATTTTAATTTGAATAGAAGTTTTAAAAAAAGTATCAATTTTAGAAATCAAATTGACGCGTGTAGATTAACAAAGATTTTATACATACATACAATTAGAAAGACTGGTGATTTTAAATTTTAAACTACGGGCAGTGTAGTAGCTACGTAAGAATACACACCTGATGACGGCCATTTAGGGCCAAAACATGTAGTGTGGAGGAAGGGAAGAAGAAAGAACTACAATTAAATTGTTGCACTTAAGACGGAGTTTGTCTCATATATATTGTGTGAGTGTAACAGGATGCTTAAATATAATATGGTTTACTATATCCATACATTATTCTGATTATAATAAATTTATTGTAAGTGGTAAGATGGTTCTTAATTATAATTATAACCATAAAAAGAAAGGAATGTGCAATCTTTCTAGCTTCATATTCAGTTTTGTAAAAATATGAAAAAAATAGAATTGCAATGGCAGAGGTTTTAGATATTCTTTGTTATGTACTGTTTCATAATTCAGTGTAACATTTTAAGAATAAATTTTGATAATGTATTTCCATAGTACATGATTTTGTCTATAATTAAGTCACAGATCTGAAATAAGTTCTTAAAAATTATCACATAACTTCCATATAAATACACTAGAATCTGCTGTTCAGGAAGTTACCAATTGTGACTTTTAATTGGTATTTTTCAGTTTGTATATAGAGTTGGTCCTTGATGTAAACAGGGGTTACATACCAGAACACATCATCTTGAGCAAAACAGCATTCATCTAACTTAACCCTTGAGAAAATAAAGATTCAAGGAATCAGGAAAAGAATTTGCCCGTATACTTCCATGACAAAAGGTGAATGGAGTTCTTCCAAGTCCCTGAGCATTTGAGACTATTACTTCCATGATAACACCATAAAAATGTGTTAAGAAACCACAAAAACAAGAAGAAAAACATGGAAAGGACTTGAAAAAGAGGAGCAGAAGAATAATTATGTATTTATAGCTTATTTAATGATGATGTCAGTACCTTAGACTATATAGTGTCAGATGGTAGGATGATATATAAATAATGAATCTGAAAAGATTTGGACTGAAGTAGCCATAGCCTAATTTACCCCAAATAGCAATGTAGATTATTACATCACCATTAGAAAGTCACTAGGTTCTATTTGCAACACATGGTGGGAACCAAAATCACCTACTCAGATCCTGTTGAACACAGGACTCTTCAGCCTATTTACGGTAGGACATCCCCTCAAAGATGTTTTAAGCTGACAGTATTATCCAGGCATTTGCTTGGAGGGGCTGAGAAAATCATGAAAATCCTCAGTCAAAACAGCTGCTGTCAAGTTGAGATTTGAACTGAGCACCACTGAAGTGCCATGCATCAAGATAATATCAAAATCTTTAAAAGGACTAAACATATGTAAATAAACGTTCACTCAGACCCTTTAGTAAACCGATCCTTAAAATTAGTACCCAAAATAAACCATAATGGCTTAACAGAGTTTAGTATATGTCAGCCATACTGAGTTTTATGCATACTGATTCAGAATTTTCGGCACTTACTCAGGGATAGACAGGCATGATATGAAGAACCTACAGGTGTTTCTGAAAACTTTCCTTCTAAACATACCTAAAAAGAAACTGATTTATTAGGGCATATGGGAGCACTACCTCAAGGAACTGAAGAAAGCTTTGGTTTGCTGTTAGAAGAGGGAAGAAAGATCTCATAATAGATATGAGTACAGATGCCCAGTCCTAGCACAGAATAGTGCGTGACAGTTCCAAAGTTGTATGGAATAGATTTCCTTCCACTCTTAAGCTGAAACAAAATATTTTCACGAGTATTCATGCAACTCTCACAAGCTGTACAAGCAATGAGAATATCAGTCCATTTGAAAGAACAGAATTACACCATTAAAAATATATGTTTTAACAAAAGCAAAGAACAACAGAAATCTAATGAGAGTAGAATAATAAAACGAACTTAATGAAACCATGTACATACACAGGTTATTAGGGTGAAATGCAGTAATCAGTTTTTCAGGGTTTGTACGCATGAGTGAAAAAAGAAATGATCACCAAAGTTTGATCAGGAGATCTTAAAGGATAACAATAACAGTATTTTATAGGATCAGGCCAGAATAAAATAATAATGCATTTCTGGGTTCCTTTAAAGTAGAGAGCTTCTTATGTCAGCTGAGCAACAACTTTATCGAGACAGACCTTTCTGCTGTGAAGTTAGTGTCATTCAGTGGGTGTCAAAAAGACAAGCTTTGCTGCATAAAATCACTGGACTGTTTGATTGACTGACGAGTGACAGGCTTAAAAAAACCATAGGGTTGTGAGACGTTGAGGGTCCCACATTATCTAGACAATCGGCTCAAAGATGGCGGTAAGGTTGTCAGCCTTATGTGCTGGCTGCGCTTCACTCCCGAGGAAAATTATTTAATTAATTCCTGGTACTCATTTCTGTTAGAGGCTGAGTCGACCCCAGGGCCATAGTGCAGCTGGAAGGATTAGGTCAATTGAAAAAATCCAATAACCTCATCAGGACTTGAACCCATGGCCTTCCGGCTTGTAGCATAGTGCCTCAACCACTACGCTAACAGGCTAAGTAACTACAATAGAATCAAAAGGTCAACAATTTTACACCTATATAATGGTTCTCACAGAATGCAAGCAGAGAGGAAGATGATACAAGAATAAGTTGGAGGCCTGTTACATGGTCTTGCCATGGTGGAACTCCTTTTGTAATTTATGAAAATCGAAACCCTTTTGAGGGTACCACATGTCATACCGTGGTTGAAACCCAAAAGCCAATATGACACATCAACAGGGGTAACGAAAGCCAAGTTTCAAGAATAAGAATTACAGGCCTGTATCTACTGTTTTGTCAATCCAATCCATTTTATAAGGATTTATAGCTTAGTATGCAAATAAATTTTACAAACTGCTAAATGATGAATACCATATGTATAAGATGTTAGGGTAAATTAATGTCCCCATTATTGCGTATCGGCCCAAGGATCCTTTGTCAATCTGCTCACGTTCTGAATCTTTCACCTGCAAACAAGGTCAGGAAAACAAAAACAACATTGATCCCATAACATAAACAAGTAACTAAAGGCATGGGGATATGTACAAATTGAACTGAAGATAGATAAATGTTAAAATATATGATTAAAAAAACAAAGAGTCAAATGATTTTCAATTACAGTATCCAAAACGTATATAAGTATAGAAAACTCTAATATGGTTTGAGTTTCAAGATCCATCAGGGTGATCATAAAATATATGTAACCTAATGAGGTTCACGCTGCTGTATGGTGTGGCAAACATCCGTGAGGGTACATCGTGCCTTGAGTAGGCAACCTTATGGAACAAAAGTCCTGCATGTTCAATGAGATCTTTGGCGTGGTGATTTTGGTTCCCATTGTATGCTGAAAATAGAATTTAGCAGCTTTCTAATGAATGACATAATATACATGTCACTACCTGATGATGATGATGATGCACCCTCAAAGATATTTCAGACACACCTTTATTATAGGTTATAAATTCTAAAATTGAAAAAAAAAATTAAAATATAAATGGCTTATCATTTTCAAGTTTATCTACTGATATAATTATATGAATTTAAATTTCATATGTATATATATATG